TAGCTTCAGAGCGCTTTTTGCACCCGAAGAGCGCGCGCCGAGGCAGCTCTCGGCAGATCTTTCGCGTGCCTTGGCAGCCCTTTAGTCAAATGGCCGTGGTTGTCAAAACCGTTTTGGGATCCCATTTTGGTTGGTAGGTGAGATCACCACCCCATTTTGGAACCTATTTTAGTCGGGATTAAAATGTTCATCGGGGGTACAAGCTTTTGACCCATGGCCAAATCCAACGGGCGGCATTGTCAGAATGCCCTCCGGTCCAAAAACATGGAACCTGACTCCAGGTGCTGGAAAACAACTTCCATTTAAAAGGGACCTGGAACCCCTAGTGGCCAGTGGAATATTTGTTTTCCATTTCGCTTTAGGACTCGTATTGTGGCCACACATTGGGGCAGAGCTACTCGGCTTTTCAGAACCCTTCAAGGAACCACTTTTAGTTACTTAACACTATGTTTCCTTTCACTACTGGCAATATTTTGTCATTTTGCCAGGGGACTTAGGCAAATGGAAGTTGGAGGAAGCCAGCTGAGCAAAGTGGCAACAAACGGCTTTTGGTTGTCCGCGCTTAGCGAGGAGCAAGCTTGGACGCCGGGAACATGCTGCTTAGTAAGCGAGCAAAGCAAGGGGGTCTCACGTGAGCCGCGGGTCTAAATTACTTGTTTCCCTAATTGGGGACTACACTTTTCCCGGTCCCTTTTACAGGATCTTCCGCTTGCGTTTCAGAAGAAGGACGTCTGACATATGGTTTTCAAAGGGGTTCAAGCAATTGGAGGGGATACATATGGGCCAGTGACAAATAACGCATTCCGGGGGATTTAAAGTTCTGGTAAAGCCTGTGGTTTTTTGAGGGCTTATGGAGCCTACGTAAGGCCCCTTGACGACCAAAGACTACTGACTACTCCCCCGAAATTGTATGGCTTTATTTGACCAAATCTTGCCTTAAAAAGGCTTGTCAATCCTTTGGTTAACCTTCGGGAGGGTCTTGGCAGGGTTGTTGTAGGGTCCCTGATGAAACTTCAGAAGTTGACACTCATGCGGCGTAGTTCCGTCATTGGCGCATTTTGTTTCTCGCAGGTTGCCTCCATGCCTCCATTCCACATCAGCAAAAGAGACTCAAGGGAACTTTTGAGTCACAGTCTTGCTGCTGAGTTTGCAAACTTCAAAGACTTATGGCCTGGCAGGTCTGCCCATCATCTGAGTAAGACCCAAACAACTCATAGTTGGTCAGTCAACTCAGCAGGCCAGCATTTAATTCAACAAGCGGACACTTTGGTCAAACTGGACACCCAAATGACTCCGTGGATTTTCCTGAACCGTGGGCCTCCAACAAGAGGACATGTAACACCTCTATTTATCCCAATGCTCAGTTGTTCAGTGGCATCCTTTTTCCTTCTTCTTTTTGGTTTCAACAAAAAAGGTGGCTGCCCCACTAAAAATGGCCCAAGCCCCAAAAAGGGTTCCCTTTTTTCCTCCTGGGCCACTGAACTGAGAATCTGGAGGTTTTCTGGTTTTCGCGGCCCAGGCTTGCGCCCGTGGCGCGCGGCCCAAGAGATAGAGCCCGGGGGTGCGGGCAGGTCTTTGGCGAAGTTGTCTTGCGTTGGGTGAAGCACCCCTGTTGATTTTACAGGCAATCGATTTCACTCTTTTTTTTCCGGGGGGCGAAAAAGCAAATGGAGGTTGTCTGGAACTCCTTTTGTGGGTTCTAGGCCGGCTGCAACCACACCCACGGCGCGACCCCGTGCTAGCAAAGCCAGAGCCGGGCGTTTAGACCCAGAGTTCGGACCTTAGACGGTTTCAAGAACTCACAAGAAGGTCTTGGGAACCCCTCAACAAGGGCCTCGCAACCCACGAGGCTCTAGGAACCCGCAAGGCTCTAGCAACCCACAAGGAGGCCCACCCCCAAGGTCCTAGGAAAACCCAAGGAGTGCCTACAAGAATCTTCTACCCTGAGAAGGTTCGGCATTTTGTGAGGTGAGTCGAAGGTCCCATCTGACCCAACCCCAGGGCCGGCGCGGTGCCCTGGGTGCCCTGGGTGTGGCCGGAGCGACGCTGGTGCCTCAGCGCGGGGCCCAGCGCCGTGACGCCATGGGAAGTGGGGATTTGTTGCTTTCGGACACAGCTTGATGCGCAAAACAAACACCCGCCGGAGGGGGGGGGGAAAAGCGGAGCGGAGGTGGTGCAAGGGTGCTTTTGGAGGGTAAAACCCGGGTTGCCTTTTGTTTCCGTCCGTGTCCAATTGAATTCCTTTACGAGGTCAAGTCACGCACGGGCTTGACAAGAGTCTCGTTTCATGCAACTGCTTGGATATCCTGTGAAGGATGTTTTGCTTTTGCTCCAAATCATCCTTGAGTTACGAAAAGAGTTGGCCCCAAAACAGGGTGGTTGTTCCATGGTTTTCCAATAGGGATTGGCTTCTTCCATTTGTTTAAGAAGCTTTTTATTTTTGAAAAAAACATATCAATTTTAAAAGGAAACGATTTCACTACTGGATTTTTTCCAGGGGGCGAAAACGCAAATCGAAGGCTTGGACCGAGCCGTGAGAGCGGGCGGGCATGGCGTGCGCGCTGCGCCCAGGTTGGCGCTGGCGGAGGAGGAGAACCCCCTGCCGCCTCCGGTGGTGAAGGCGAGTGAGACCGATGCGTAAGCTGAGGAACGACCTCCCTCTGACTGAGCCCCCTGAGGGGCCCCCCTTAAAGGAAGTAGCCCGAAGAGAAAGTTGATTTTCCTCAAAAGGAGGTTCCTCTAATGATGTTTTTTTTTTTTTGTGTGGGGTGCCATGTGTACCTTTTTGTCCCTAATCCTGGGTGATTTTGGGCTCCCATTGCTCGCAGACTGTGTGAGGGTAGCCTTTGGCCAGGATTTGGAGCGCGCTGCTCCGAAGATCCAAGCAGGCCAGAGCTAATTGGTGCAGCAAAACGGTTCCTGTGTGGTTCCAGCTGGGTTTTGTTTGCTTTGAACATCGAGGTGGCTATGAACTTAGGGCCCCTCAAAATACCGTTGGCGGACACACATCCCCATGTCCACCATTCCGTTTCCGAATGAGTTTTATTGTAGTGGTTTCACATATACACCCAGGTAGGTCAGACCAATGTGGCAGCAAGCCACAGGTGTCCTTTATGGCTTCAGGCTTTTTGTTTACAAAGGCACTTTTCCATTTGCTTGAGAATGTGCCTTATTTGCACAGGTACGTAGTTTTCCCAGGGGGCTTAAGCAAATGGAGGCACTGGGGTGCGTTCCTGCGTGTATTTGTGCGCTGCATGCTTCATTCGTGCGGTTGTTCGGTTCTGCCCATGCGGGGCAAGGCGCTTGCTACAAGGTCAAGTTCCTTGCCCGCCTCCTTTCCAAAGGTCGCCACATTCTATTCGACAAAGGGTCAGGAGGTACCTCTGTTTTGTGGGTGTCACTCGAGCGCTTTTATTTTATTTTTTTTGGGGGGGGGGGGGGGTGTTTCCTTGCAAGACTCCAGCCTCAAACTGTCCAGCCCAAAGTTAGAAGGCGCCCTTTGTTTACCACGGTCCCGGGGCACAGGTCCTAAGAAATTCGAAAAGAGGCCCCAAATGAAGGCATCGCTGGTTGCACCGAGGTGTGGATTGGTTCTACTTTGAGCTCTTGCCCGGCATCGAGAAGGAGGACCAATATTGAGAAGGAGAACCCCTCTTGATTCTGGGCGAGGTTCCCTATGCTTTTTGGGTCGAGGTTCCCTATGCTTCACCTTTTGGCTATCTAGTTGACAAGTTCAACAAACGTGTGTTTCTCCTTGTTCTCTTGTTTAGGTTCTTCTGCGTGTGAGTCTCATATCTTCCTTTGTGCCTTGAAGATGGGACTGGGGCAGGGGGGTGACCTGTGGGGATTTCCATTGGCTGTGGGTCAACACCAGTGGTACCATTTTGGGGTAGGTGCACCACCCATTTTAGCACCTATTTTAGTGGGGATTGGGATGTTCACTGGGCGTACGAGGTTTTGACCCAGCCAGAGGAGTATGTGTCCACGTCCCCTTCTTGTGTGGACTCGAAACATGAACGTGGGACACGCAGACTCCTCCCCTTAAGCGCTGAGGGTGGCATCTGCGGGCTTGGATTTTTCTTGGGCAAGCGAGGGGTCTCAGACAATGTCAGCTGTTCCACCTGAATCAAAAAAAAAAAACGTGCTTTTGTTTGTTTTTAAGGGAACTTTTTTGTTTGTCATAAAGGCAGCCAGAAGCAAACCACTTATTCTTGGGGTGAAAAGGACAAACCCAACACCTTCAGCTGCTTGCCACACAAATCACGGCGTGGGGCCCTTTGCCAGGGATCCCCTCGGCTTGTTGGCTTGAGTCACCGTGCGTCTTCCCGCTAGCCGTTGAGGCCAGATCAAATGTAAATGCCAGCGCCCATTGACCGCCATGAACCTTGACGGGATGGGTGTGAGATGGTGTGAGCCCTTGCTAGATGATGTCCAAAGGGTCCCAAATCAGGATTCGCACCATGGCGTCAAATGTTGCAGCCAGACCCTTCTCATGGGCTGAGGCTTGGGAGAGTCTGAGGGGGGCCGAACCTTTCCAAGACAAGGCCGCCAAGTATGTGCTGGCTGAGCTGCCAAGGTAATAGTCTACATATGTTGGAAGTTGATTGGGCGAGTTCACTCCAACACTCCTGCGGACGACCAAACGACTCATGCACCAATGCAAGGCAAACGTTAAGGAAGGCCAATGACCCCCATCCCCCATCTCTCATTGCATCCTCACCAAAAATGGGGATGATTTCTCTTTTCCCTGCTGACACCCTTGTCAGAACCCCTTGCACGAACACAAAGCAGCAAAACACATGACACCACATCAAGAACGCCGGCCCGGAGAGGGCCTACGGAGGAACAATCAGATTGCGAGGCGTTCTGACCCCTCAAGCTTGGACTCCCAATTTACCCCAGTTGTTTTTTTCCCCACTCCCCATCAGCAAATCCTCATATTCCGGGCATTGGCGCGCCCGGAAACGCCGCCGGAAAAGCCTCCCCTCCCCCCGACGGCGATGGCGGCGACGGCTTTCGCCCTGCCGGGGGTGGCGGAGCTACGGGCGGAGCTGCAAAGTGCGGTGCAGGCGCTGAGCTGCTCCGGCGCAAGGGGGGGCGAGGGGGAGGGGAGGGGAGGTGGGAGGGGCCGCTTGGGGTTTTGGGTGACCCCTGAAATGAGCTCTTTCACTAAGGGTAGCTGCTATCTTAGGGTTCCTGCAAATTCACATGGAACCCCTGAAATGACCATGTTTTGGCATTTTCCCTCAAGTTTGTCTAACGTTGAAATCGATTTCACTGCTGCACATATGTTGTCATTTTGTCAAGCAGCTTAAGCAAATGGCAGTAGTGGTGCTGTGGATGGGGGCGAAATCCAGAAATCGCACCACAGATTTTAGAAGCCCAACGGAATGATGCGACTCCCCAACGTAAATACCAACGTACGATGCTTTTAACCACGGTTTAAATGGATTTCGTCCATCCACAGCGTCCCTGTGATTGTCCTTTAAAATGCGTCCAAGAAAGGGTACCCTCAAAAACGACAGACCCATTTTTTGATTGCTCCCTGCAAGTTAACATGGAACCCATGAGTGTTCTTGGTAGGTTAGTTTGGTTATCGATGGCACTTGTTTGGATTTTTTTGTTCCTTTATCAGCGTCATCCATTTGTCCAAAAAGTCACCAAGGCAGGGGGGGTCCCATTCCCAGAAGGCGATCCCATTGAAAACGGAGGGTCAAAGGTGAACCCTCGATTTGTAGGTCCCCTTTCAGTGGGATTACTTCGATTTTTTTGACTGCTCCCCTGGGGCCTTTGGACACCACATCTAGTCATTGCAGGAGTAAATGTTGGTATTTGTTTTGCCCCTATTAGCAGTGACTCGCTGTGAGCCAACATGGAGCGCCGAAACAGGGTCGACTTCTCGGAAGGAAAAGAGAACCCCGGGTTTGAGTGTAGGTAGGTGTATCAAAAAATGGACCGCTGGGTTCGGCGGGGGGCCAAAAACGTAGGTAAAGGACACTCTCTGATTTGTATCTTGGTTGCTGGAGCGGAGGTGCTGAAGTTCCACTCTGAGGTGACTTTTGGGGTCCGGCTTTCGACCAGTGCCCGTAGGGACCCAAGGCAATTTGAAATCCGCGAGCGCAGGTTTGGCAATGCCAAGAGCGGCGAAACGTGGGGCGCGCTGGGTGTTCCCTGATAGCGCTCAGCCCAGAATTTCATTTTCTTAATCCCCTGCCATAAGGCCATCTAGGCCCCAATCCTCCCAAAGGTTTGGTCACACGCCCGAAGAAACCCCATCTTGGGGGAACGCCCGCTCTCAACAGCCAGTCCCACTAATACAAATGCGTTCCCTCCAAAGAGCGTTTTGAATCCAACCACTAAGAGGGGACACCCCATGTCTCAAAATCAACCAGGGGGTCGTTAATCAGGGTTCCCATTGAAACCAAAAGGGACAACACATAGAGCAGTGTTCTTTGCAGTGGGTCATTTGGCTGTGCTTTGGCGTTCCCCGTTCCAGAGCCTCACGGCTTGAAGAGGTTTGAGGAGACACGAAAGCTGTTGCTTTCGGTCAGGGGGGGTTTGCCCGAAGCTGTTCAACAAACAAGCTCTGTGTGTACTTGCCTTTTAGCCAGCGCGGCGTCTGCTCTGCGCACGAGCTTGAGCAGAAAGGGCATCTCTGATTTGTACTCTACCAGGGAAACCACCCCGGAACACCACCAAACGATCGATTGGGCTCCAAACCACCAACTGGGAGGAAGCTGAATAGATTTCAAGTAGTGATAGATTCCCTTTAAACCAAGGGGAAATCAGTGAATCTTCGGAAGCACATGGAAGTATCTCTCCACTTCACCCCAGGTACCCACCCTCCCAAATGGGAAGCCAGCCCGAACCACCAACAGGGAGGCAGCTGATGCCATGTTCACCACTGTCCGAGCAAAACCATGTGGCGTTTGTTTATTCTCATCATCTATCTGTTTGAAATTTAATGGCACATGTTCAATATGGTCGACCTATCATTTGTAGGTCCTACTGCTGACCTCTTGGATGGACCCATAGCATTTCGGGTGGCCCACCAACACATTTTCAGGCGAACGCGTTCCAAGGCTTCGCGGAGCTTCTCAGCAGCGCCCAGTGGGCCGCCGAGCTGCTGGCGTCTTTGCCAGGCAAAGGAGCTCCAGCGGGGTCCAGGTCGGTATCCTGGCATTCTTGCCTTCCATCGTTTCAGAACATATCTTTGGAATGGGGTTGTGGGGTACGAGTACTTTAAATAGTCTTGTGGTATAATCTTTGGCCATCTTTGTTGCATTTTGCCAAGGGATGTTAGGACTTTAACTTTTTGCCAACTAATGGGTTTTCCAAAAAAAACACTAAAAGTTATTCACCTTTAGCAGGGGAGCAGAAAGCAACCGAGATATGTCTTGACTGCTATTGGGTTGGATCTTGAGACTTTAACTTTTTGGGAAATGAAGGGGGTTTTCCACTAAACCCACAACAAGTTAAACTTTTTGCAGAGGGGTCAACAGCAACAAAGATGTGATTTTCCCCTGGTCGGGTGTGAGGGGAATCACTTACACTAATGGACAGGAATTTTGATAGCTTCACGCAAAAGAGGATCAACCCACAGGGTGGCCTCTACCTAAGCGTTTCGGAATATTCTTGCTATTTTTCCCTGTTGGGTTTGAGGGGACTCGATTTCAATACTGGACATGTGTGTTTTTGTTTTTTCAGGGGACTTAAGCAAATGAAGGAGTTTTGGTGGCTTCACGCAGTTGGATCAACCCCACACAGCATGTCATTCCTCTTCCCGCCTGAATCCCTGGACAACTGGGTTGCACTTCCCTTTCATCACCTTTTTTGGGTGACGTCTAGAGGGGGCATGTTTGACCACGGGATCGCGCGGCGGGCTGCAATTCCAGCGAGCTGGACCTTTTTCTATGCAGCATCGGATCAAATTCAACCAGCGGTTCATTAATCTTGGGTTGGCATTCCCGGGCGATGCTCTGACGGCCATGTTGCAGGTTCCGGGTACGGGCTGGACCCAATCCTGTTCCTTGCGGTGATGCTACCAGCCTTGGCCAACGGTTGCCGTCGATTCAGCGCCTTTTTTGCTTTGAGGTGTGGTGACCCCTGCCTGCTCGTCCTGAAGCCCCTCCCGTAGGTCTGTATGGTCAACATTTCAATTATGGTCTTGCTAATTTGGAGTCCAGACTCCTGCCACGGCCGCATGACCACAAAAACCTGGCTCCAGGCGGCGACCAACAGCCTGCGCCCGCCGTCTCGAGCCAGCCTGCGGCCAACAGCCGCACCTGGGGCGCCCTGATGTTGGCCAAGGCAGTACGGAACGCCGACCCTCCCAGCAGCCAACATGGAAGTGGACCCCTGTAAACAAAAAAACGGTAGAGAGACTGGAAAAAAAGGGGCCCTGTGCACTTCCATGTTAGTTGGTCGAAAGGTACTAAGTGGGCATATCCCGGGTCAACACGTCCACGTGACTGAGAGGGGTGAATACCACGTTGGGGACTTGACCCAGTTAGTTAGGTTAAGAAGTCCACGTGGGTAAGGGTAAATACAGCTTTGGGGACTTCTTGGCTCTGGATATCAACTCACGACACGGGGCGGTCCAAGGGGAGAGAGGACCTTGAGGCCAACGGCTTTCCTTTCGCAACGAGTGTAGGGTCAGTGCTGTATCTAGCATGTGTTCATTTTTATATTGGGTCCGACTCATGCAGCTACCAAAGATCCTTTGGCTGCCTAAAAATGAAGCCCGGGCAAGCAAAAACAAAAAAAGAAGAGCAATGTTCAAACGTGTTTTGCGACCAACCCTGGCAGGCACCTTTCCGGTTCCAGGACGGTCTTCTCTATTTCAAAGAGAGCCTTCTTGGGCAGTCCTCTTTGTGGTAGGGGGTCCATGCTGTGGATGGACGAAATCCATTTCGCACCACCTCTCAGAAAGCCTGGAATGATGCTTCGGTGGCAACCAACAAGTGATGGTTGCAACCAGGATTTTCGGCATGAAGTGGATTTCGCAACCGTCCACAGCATTTTGACGCCAACCCACGCCGCAAACTGTTTTATCGCTTCTTCTCTGGCGCTTTGGTTGTCAACGCCTGCGACTGCGAGCATCGATCGCATGGCGGGCCTCGATCGCAGGCGCACCTCGGCATGAGGGAGTACTCCCGGGCCGCATCGGTGCTGGGCAGAGAGAACCAGACGCCCTGCGCCATCTTCTTCCGGCGCCCCGGGCGGAACCGCATGGCGTCGACGGGCGGCGCGGTTCCATTTGTTTGAGTTTAAGTTGGACGCAGATACCCAGAACTGGTCCCCCCGAATTGAAAAAACCAACAACTAGGTTGAGGTCTGCCTGGGATAATGGATCTACAGTCAAAAATGGCAACCTGACGGGCAGGCTCCCTATCGCAACTTGGGTAGCCGCCATGCGTTGTCTGCGCACCGCGGTGTCTGATTGAGACGGGGCTAAGGCAGGCTGCGGCTTCCTAGGTCGCCTCTGGTTCTTTCAAGGAAACGCAGGGAACCCGAGTCGGATCTGCCCCGAGTCGGTTTCTCTCTTTTCCCCCAGCTGAAATTCCTGAGGGCGCCCCAAGTGTGCTTCGGTGCCAGCGGGTTCCAGGGCTGTTGGGCCTTGATGGCGAGGAGGGGGGACTGGGGGACTCGGGGCTGGTGGGGGCTGGTTGGCTGAGGTGCTATGCGCTGTACATGGCCGGGGAGAAGCGGAAGGAGGAGGAGGTGGCGGAGCTCCAAGACCCCGTGGAGAAGGGCCGCGTGAAGAACCCCGAGCTGCCGCGCGGCCCACGAAGCCGAGAAAATGCTCGGGCGCGAAACGGAAGTTTCCACGGGGTATTGGCGGGGGAGCCAAAGAAAGCGTTTCGGTGGGTGGTTGCGAAATCCATTTCGCGCCTTTCAGAAACCGTGGTTGAAACCACTGTGCGTTGGCATTTGCCAGGGGGTACCGCCATTCCAGGGTTTCTTAGGTGGTGCGAAATTCACTCCGTCCCTGCGCGGTAGGTTCACCAAAGTTCAACTTATAAACCTGGGGTCATGATTTCGACTGCTTCGGGGGTTCAAGTCAGAAACTGCGTCATCGGTTGTTTCTCTTCAACCTGCTGAGTGACTTTGATGATGGCAACATAATGGCCTTTTCTCCGATTGGGGCATGCATTGGGGGTCATCTGGCTAGAGAATTTACCGACAAATGCTTTGGGAATGAACAGTGTCTTTGGGGTGTGGGGGGGTGTAGGGTCAGGGCCGCTCCTGGCATGTGGTTAAGTCTTCGATTCGAGGAATTCTCGGGGCGAAATAATTTTGTTGGCTGACGAAATTCGCGTGAAGGGAATTTGGGGTATCGCTGCAGCCCCAAGTGAATTATTCAGGCAAGAGAGGTTTGAGTGAACGGAAGGAAGTCCCTTATTCTTGGAAGCCACCAGTTGGACGGTTAACGGCTCGGTGGTAAACAGCAAGTTCAACCGGGCTGTCAGTGTTCCTTACATTCAGTCACTGCTAGTCACTTCCAGTAAAGTCCGGCAGAGCCTCAAGCGTGGAGCCAAAAGGGGGGTCCTAAGGAAGCAGGAAGGGAACGAAGGCATGCCACAGGGTTTCGAGGCACGTTGCCCAGTAAGCGCGGGACCTGAATACTGAATGGGTTTCCAAAATAGGGGACAACCAACCCATTTGTGGGCGTCCTTTGGATTCCCTGCAGAAACACGGTTGCCAATAAAGACCTATCCAAATCCACTGAACTGCTAAAATTCGATAATTGTTGCTCCCCTTCCAACGTCAACCAAAAACAGAACAAAAATGTGGGTGCCCTTATTCTCCAAAGGTCCCTTGACCGCTCGCCCCCACGGTTCCTCGCCTCGAGCAAGGAAGCAGCTGGAGGAGGAGTTGGAGGCCTTGCACCGCCAGCGCCAGTTGGACGGCCTGGGCCCCTCGCCAGGTTTTTTTTCTTTTTTTTCTCGTTTTCCGATTCCCTAAGGGGGGGACGGGTCCAAGAAGGGGGGGAGGCCTAAGGAACTCTAGTAAGGAACTCTAGTAACTACCTACCCTTTCTTGGGGATTCCGGATTTCATAGCTTGCCCAAAGCGAGCTGACCTTCTGACGCACAAAAGTCAACAGGAAGTTCTGCAGTTGCAATGTGCTTCTCTTGCCCACCGAAAGCATGAAGTTCGGGGGTTGGCTTCTTGGAATACCCTTTTGGCTTCCCTTTGGCCCCTCAGTCAAGGTTCTAAAAGAGTAGCCTTTTGTTTCCAGGTCCTTGTTGACAAGTGAGAAACTAAGCAAGCACTGCCATGGAGGCCCGCAAAAAGGGAGGGCCTTCAAAAATCAGTTTCTCTCAAAAGGCGGCCTTCACAAAAGGATCCGCTCGAAATGACGGTTGTGTTGGCTTATCTGGTTTTTTGGCATTAAGAGAGGCAACTGCCAGGGTCACTGAACAATTTGCAGAGGGCGCCTTCCAAAGATGTCACCAGGTCAAAAAGGGGTGTTCTTGTTGGGGTGCGATCGGTCATGAGGATTTGCTCCTGAAAGTGCCAGGGGCAATGCGCAAGACCCTGAGACACTGCCAAGAAACTCGAGAACAGAGGTTGCACCGGCCAGGCAAAAGTTGCGCTTCTTGAAGGTCAGAGCGATTACACCTAACAACCCTTCCCCCTAGAATCCTTCAGGAAGAGAGACCGATCTAGGATCTGGGAAGCCTTTTTTTCTTAATATCTTTACAGGGCGTGATGATTGACCGTCCCACGCCCGCCACACAAAACGCACTTGTTCATTCGATCCGCGGCTGACTTGACGGTGTGTGTTTTTCACAACAGCCAAGAAGCATACACTTTTCTGTTTGACTGAAGTAAACTCTGGTTGGCTTTTCCCAACAGGCGAAAAAAAGAAAAACCACTACCCCTACCCAACCAACCACCACTCCAAATCAGCCTTGAGGGGAGCTGACAGTCTGGAGTTCCCAGCTTTTAAACAGCCTCCCGTTGGTTTACCTGAAGTTTTCCTAAATGCACTCTCGCCTTCTTCTCTTCAGCGGACTCTTTAGCGCGCTCCAATACACATGTGGCTGTGGCTCAAAAACCCGGTACCAAAATGAAACCCTGTTCAGTGGAAACATGGACCAAAACCTGCGTAACCCCTCCTGTTTAATTTTGAGCCACACCCATGTTTCGAGACTGGTTTCAACCCAAGACGTGTCATACGGCATACGGCCGCCGTTTTTTCCCCGCGCGCACGGTACTGCGGCTGGGGCTGGAGGCCTCTACGTCTACGGCATGGTCCTGAAGGGCCTGGAGCTCAAGGAGGACGCGCGCCGCATCCTGCTGGAGTCCGTGCAGGCGCCGTTTTTAATTCGCGGGGACGGCATGGGACGGTTGGGATGGTGTCATGCATGTGCTGAAATGAACTTCTATTTGTTTTTCCCTTGCTGGTTTTAAGGGGAATCTATCACTGCTGGACATATTTTCTCATTTTTGTCCGGGGGGCGAAGAAGCAAATGGAAGGTATGTGACCTCAAACTAGGAGGGGGCCCCTAAAATGGGCTGGTTCCTTTGGCCTTTTCCTGGAAGGCAAGAAGTAAAAGGGCACCCCAGAAAAGCACGGCGTTGAATGTTTACACGTTTTGGGTTGAAACCAGTTTCGAAAAATGTGTATTGCAGCACGACAAAGGGTGGACTCCGCTGAAGGGAACAAGATCGAGAGTGCAGTGAGAAACCTTGAGGTAAACCAACAGGAGGCTGTTCAAAAGACTTGGTGCCTACATGTGACAGGGGCTTGGCCTGAATTCGTGCAGGTCTTCCCCTGCAACTGGTCCGCGTGGCTGGATATCGTGGCCATCTGCTCTGACCTGCGTTTGGGCACAAAAAGTCGCCTTCGAGCGGGTCCCTGGTTCGGAGCTAGGGGTCCAGAACGACCTGGGCTGATGATGTTAATTCTGAGGGGCCTCCCAGATTTTCTGGATTTCAGGCAAAACCCTGACATTGGTTCAAGCACCCCTTGGGTCTATATAATCTTATTGTGCCTTCCTTAGTATAGTTTGACATCCGCATTTCCATTTTTTTACAAGTCGGTTTCCCGCCTTGACGCCAAATACTCGTTAAGCTTGGTTAGGTTGGGATATTTTGCGATATTTTGGGTATGTTGCAATTTGTAGTCTTTGGGGTAGGCATTGTGTTGTTCGTCCTTTGAGGCCGACATGAAAAATATACAGAGAACGCTTCCTTCCAAAGCCTGGTTGGCTTACGAACCCCTTGAAAGCGGTTTTCCCTTGGCTCAACTGAAATGGGCTTCTTGGTTTAATGTTGGTCCCCCAACTAACACCTAAGAGCTGGTTCCTTCAACTATGTTGAATCATCCTGGGTCATTTGCCAAGGGTGAAATCCCAGGGTGTAATACAAACACCCTCAGAGTGAAGGGGCGCGAAATCCGCGAGCCCCGCACCGCCTAAGAAACCAGAGTTTCAGCACCCACCAAATGGCAACCCAAACACGGCTACTGTGGCACGACCATGGGTATATCTGGTTGGGAACTGCGGTATATATATATATATTGTTTTCTTGCCTACTTGCTAGGGGATCCTCGTTGGAGCCATACTGTGGATGATTGCGAGTCCGCGAGTCTCGCACCACCTTTCAGAAACTATGGAGTTGAAGCCATACCGTTGATGTAGGGGAATCGAATTTTCCCGTTGTGTGGGGCGATATGGATTTTGTCCATCCACAGGATTGAGGGAGGGAACCGCCCCCTTTGGGGCAAAAAAGGAGTAAAACAAACAGCTTTGGAGGGTCAATATCCAGTGGCCGCATTCCCAGGGTGTAATACAAAAAAAAGCCTTGGATAAAGGGTACGATGACACCAAGCTACCTCAGACCTCAGAACCATAGGGCAATAATTGATCGGTGGTTATTTGATCATGTATATTTCTCATTTCTGTTATATGCCCCATGTCCATCCACAGTCTCCATGACCCGACTCAAAAATGGGTCCATGACCCCTGTATTTTGGGTAATGGCCAACCATTTTTAAAGGATCATGGAGACTCTAGGTAGGATGAGGTTGTGGGAGGAAAAAACACTAAAACCAAGCTTAGACATGGACTATAAACGCCCAAATGAGTAGAATGAGGTTGTGAGGTTATGAGGTTGTAGAATGAGTACCTGGAGGCTCCTTCTTTTCCGACCCAAAAAAAACGGCTACCTAAAAAACTTGAGGGGTGACCCCATTTCGGGTCAGAAGGAGACCCCAGGTAGATCCACGGCCATCCCTCCTCGAGCCGCGCGCTCGAACTCTCCGCGCGCCCGAGGAACGACGAGGACTCGCCGGCGGCCTCGGGGCACTGGATGGGCCGCTTCTTCGAGGCGGCGCTGCTGCTGGAGCTCCAGCGGAACGAGGAGCGAGCCAACCCCGGGGTAGCTTGTTGTGTTTTTTTTCTTCCTCCAGGTACCCACCAGTTGGTGGGTTGGATTTGTGTTTTTTTGGTTTTGTTTTGGTGTCTTTAGAAAGAAAATGCCCACTACTTGGACGTTTGGATTTGTGGCTTTGGGGAGTGGATTTCCTGGCGTTTTTTTGTTTGGTGTCTGCTTTTTTTTTCTCCTCTCTCAGGTACCCACCAGCTGGTGGGTTGTTTTTTTTGGTCGTTTTTTTGTTTTGGGATGAATGGTTTTTTGTGTGTTTGCTTGTTGTGTTTTTGTTTTCTTCTTTTTTCCTCAGGTACCCAGTACTTGGAGTTTTGGATTTGTGGTTTTGGGGAGGGGGGTTCCTCGCGTTCTTTTTGTTTGGTGTGTGCTTGTTGTGTTTTTGTTCTCCCTCAGGTACCCGCCAGTTGTTTTTTTTTTTTTTTGGGGGGGGGGATGATTTGTTTGTTGTGTGTACCCACTACTTGGAGGTTTGCATTGGTGGCCCCATTGTTCTTATTGATTGTAAATGGGAAACTGCCCCCCCCCCCCCCTTGGTCAGAAGTGTCCTCCATTTCCCTTTGTGGAACCTTCAAAAGTCGCAGTGGTCAGTGGAAATCACCAGCAAGTTGATCAACTTTTGATTTGGGGAAGCCCATTGACCCCTGTTTGTTTCTGCGAGTTTCCATGAACCCTCTAACGTACCTTTTGAACAGAATTGCCCCAAATGAAAGCAATTATCATCATGGGACGGTCGGAGTATGCTCAAAACGTATACTGGAGAATTCTTGGGTTGTTGTGTCGTTTTGCTGTTTGCGTCCTTGCCTTTGCCATCTAAAACGCATAATTGGGATACGCATCAAACCTGATCTGATTTTCGTTGCGCCCTGCACTGGAGTTGGTCCTAAGGAAATGGGTAACCCCGAGTCAAGGGCTAGCTATCTGGAGACAGAGAACTGGGGGCATGTATCAAGGGAATCCCACAATGCAAAAGCAACAAGCAGGCGCCGGAACCCCAAACAATTGCAAATGGCAGGCCAAAACGGCCCATACTGTGAATCTGAATGGATGAAATCCAGTTGGCGCCACTTTGAACCCCATGCTCGAAACCATGGTTTGTTGGGGACGTTGGTAGAACCAAGAGCCAACGAGTTTGGGGTACGCCATGTTTGATTCAGCGCCACAAACCGCTCGCTTCCCACACGACACGCTCCACCCGCTCGCCCCCCGATGCGACTCGCGTAGGCGGCCAAAGACCGCTACAGTCAGCTCAAGGCCGCCTTCCCTGAGCTCCTCGGCAACGGCGCAACGGCGCAACGCCCCGCGTCGTGGGTGTTCAGTTTCCCTCCAATTGGTGGTTTGGTGGTTTGGTGGTTTGGTGGTTTGGGGGGGGGAACCCCATTTTTGGAGCCCGGTGGTTTGGTGGTTTGGGGGGGGGAACCCCATTTATGCTCCACAAAAGCGGTTCACATCCCAGTTCCCCCAATCCAAGCACCATTTTTGTTTGGGGGGGGTACTAGAAGGGTTGGAATAGTTTGGTAGATCAACAGGTTGGACTTCTGGAGAGTCAGGGCAGCCAGATCCTGGAACTAGGCAGAAGGTTAAATTCACAGTTTCGCCTTCTAGTTGGTTGAGTAGCAGTTTCTATTAAACCCACTGAAGGTGAAAAAAAAACGCCGGGTATTGGAGGGTCTAAACATGTTGAAACACCAGCCAAGTGAAAGCGACGATGCATCTTGGCCACGAGGTCCTCCTACCTCACCTCCCAGCTGGCCACCTGCTTTTACAACATGAGGACCGGGGGTGTGGTGTCATGCTACCCCCCCCCCCCCCCCCAATTTGCTTGCAATGACCCAGGTAAACCATCCCTCCCTGGGATCATCCCACCAGAAAAGGGCGCTTTCCAAATGGCACGCAACGTTTTGTTGTACCCCCCCCCCCACCCTCCTCCCCCCAAGGCTCGCTTTGCGGCTCGCAGGAACTTCGACGCCTCGCAAGCGGCGTTCGAGGAGATGCGGAAGCGGGATCCCTATCGGCTCACCTCGCTGGACACCTACTCCAACATCCTCTTCGTGAAGGATGCCGGGGATGTGGGGTCAGGTGAAGGACGATTGGGAACCCCGGATTAAGCAGACCCCCGGTTGCTTTTGGGCCATGATGCCGAGCATTTTCAGTGAAGCACAAACTGGCCTAATCAAATTTGGTACTGGCTAATCCCAATCCACAATCCTGACTGGGACCACAGAAGGGGACGAAATCCTTTCGTAAGCCAAGGGGATTGCATTTGAACAGCCTCAAGCTTTTAGGGATTACTATACCCAACATGAATGAAGGACATGGCTTCCAGCGCAAGTGGTGGAAGACACTTTTTTGGGGTCCAAAAACTTAAAAACATTCTTGGGCACATTCTACGCAGCAAATTAACGGAGCTCCAAAATTGATTCTCTGTGATTTTCGCAGGGGGGGGGGGGTCTTGGGAATGCGCGTAAAATACCGCACTCCCTTTGCGTGAAGGACTTCAAACGGGCGGGGGTGGAGTGGGGGGAGAGAATCGGGAGTGGAGGAGTGGAGTTTCTAAGGGGCAAGGCAAGACCCAATAGACTTAATTTTAACGTAAACAAGGTAAACTAAAGCAACTCCCTACACGTTTTGGGAAGTCCACCCTTTTCAAGTCTACGGTGAGTTAGTCAAGAGCCGGAAGCTCCTCTTTCCAGGGCCCCGACCCGTCGCTTAGCCGGGGTTCAACGTGAGGGAAGATACTCACTCTAGAACGGTGGGGGCAGGGGTGGTGAGGACTTCTAAGTTCAGTTCTTTAAATGCAGGAAGGGAGGAGTACCCATGAGTAGCCCTATTGACAAGCAGGGCTTCAAACCACCGGCTCCACAATCGAAAAGCTTTACCCCCCCTTGCTCGAGGAGCAGTCGGCGGCGCTGAGCCACCTTGCGCGGCAGGTGGTGAAGACACCAAAGCTGCACGCGGTTGGCATAGGTGTCCTTTTTTTGGTTGTTTTGGTAAAAACATAGATGGCCCTGGTTTACCTAGTGTTTTTGGTCAGGGTTATTTATTTCTCTAAAAAGGGCGCCTATTGCGGTTGGTTGACCCCCCCCCCGCCCCTACCGTGGATGGGTGCAAAATCCAGATACATCGCACCACCGAACTCAGAAACCCCGGTGTCTGATGCGATTCGCCAACAGAAATACCAACAAACAAATGGTTTCAACCATGGTTTCATTTCGTGGTGCGAAATGGATTTTGCAACCATCCACGGCATGGGTGTGTCTTCAAATTGGGGAGGCCCTAAAATAGGTAGTTGTCCCTTTGGAATAACCATTCAAGCTCAAGAAGGGTACCCTCAAAACAAGACACACCCAAATTGTCAATTTGTGATAGGTGGTTTTAGTAATTGTCTGGTTTCACGGGGGAGAATCAGGAAACCTATGTTGAGTTTTATGAGCCGGTTGGTAGACCAAGAGTCGACGGGTTTGGGCGTTGCTGATTCATTCGTTCAGTGCCGCCCATGCCACACTCTCTAACCTTTTTTTTTTTTTTTTTTTTTTGTTTTTTTTTTTTAGGGTTACCCCAACACGGAAGGGGCGCGGGATAGCATGGGCATACCCCGGAGAAACGGCCCGGCCTTCGTGCGGCAAAAAGTATGTTGGTCCCAGGGCAAGAAGAGCCCCCCTTGATTTCCACAAGAACGATTGCTTGATGCGCCATGGGGTAATTACTTCCGTTTGGGGCGGATTTGCCCGTGCGCCTTGTAGGAGAGCGCCGAAAATTTGGGGCGAAGCGTCCGGGCGAGCCGTGCGTGAGCGAAGGGTGGGATTCGAGCCGTCCCCAGGTCAGCGTGGAAAAGGCCATGTGGGGCTCTTATCTTGTGAGCGGCTTTCGAGATTTGGCCGTGTCTTTGTTCATTCTGGGGGTCCAAATCCCCAAGAGCAGTTGTCATGTCGCGTTTACCCCAATCAAAACTCACAGCTGTAGCTCCGGGTTGGACCGCGTACTGAGCAGGGAAGGATGGACGGAATCCGCGAGTCTCGCGCCAAGAAACCAAGGACTTCAGAACGTTTGTTGGTAGCTATAGTGCTCACTTCCTGAGTTCATGAACTTTAAACTTTTTGGGAAGACCATTTTAGTTGCAGCTATAAAGTTTGAACTTTTTTTTGGGCCATCCACTCAGCAAGTGAGATAGGGAATCATCTCATTCCCTTGGGAAGCTGAAAGGTGCGAACTGGAATTTCGTCCATCCACCATATCTCACTGGCCCAACGCGAATCCGCCTTTTCACCGGTTGTGCTTCCCCTTTGGTTCCAAAAGCAGGTCACCTTCCTTTTACTTCCAGGCCCTTTGGGCAAGTGAGACCATCTATCTTGAGCAGGGAGAGGGAAGCCCTAGTTCATTCCCAAACCCTGGGTCATTCCACCAGCAAGCTATGTTTTGTTTTTCTTTGCACATCACCACGGCAGGAACAAAGGGCCCTCCCCTATTCTATGAGAGCCCGCCGAGCTGAGGATTGACAAGTACACCCCGGAGGCATGTAGCCTTGCCACACTCAGCGCCCATTTCTCCAAGGAAGCCAAGGGCAGGTGAGAACCCTCAGCGGTTTACAGCCAACGGTCCCCAATAGTCACTACTAGGCTGCCATGGCCCTGAATCACCATATTGTTCTTTTCCCCCTCCGGCCTTTTAAAATTTGATGGGCTTCCTTATGTGCAACCGTTGGCCAGTCCATTACAAATCATTTCCCGGTCGCTCCAGTACGGGTCGCTGGGATAGTTTACCTGTTGGCTTTTACCCTGGAAGAAAGCATGCATGTCATTAACATGTTTTGCTTCTCTGACCTAAACAATAGAATGTTTCTATCTAACCAACTCTGTTCAAGGGCATTTGCAGGTGCAGGTTTAGAGATTACATCATACCACTCAAAGGTGAGGTCAGCATATGTTCCTCTTACTTTGGCCTGCGTGGAACCTCAAAACAAAGACCAACATCCAAGGGCCTGATTTCTACCCCGATCGGATGGAGCATGCTCCTGCTTCTCCGGGGTGCTTCCACTTGCCGCAAAGTAAGCCCTCTTTTTGGCTCAGTTGTTCAAAGCCGACCTTTTGACCTTTTGGTTTTCCCATAGTGGTCCATATTTAGTCATGGCCCCAAAAGGTTAACCTTTTAGTTCCAGAGCTGGACTTCCAGTTGGCGCCTCCTACTGTGGTGACGGGAAGGGCCATGCATCAAAATGGGGGGGGGAGGGCCAGGTGAGGATATTCCTTTGTCCCCTTCAATCGGAGCCTGAAGCGGGCACCCTCAAAAAACACACACACAGAAACAGAGAGAGAGAGAGAAAGAGAGAAGAGAAACCCAGACCCACACACACACACACAGGCACACTTGACTGGCTTAGGTAGTATCATCGGGAATTACTACAGCCTGAAAGGGGAGCACGAAAAGGCGGTGATTTACTTCCAGAGGGCGCTGAGTCTGAACCGGCACTTCACCCCTGCGTGGATCCTCATGGGCCATGAGTTCATGGAGATGAAGAACACCTCGGCGGAACCTGGGCTCTTAGCTTGACTGCTATTGGGTTGGAGTTTTAGACTTTTTGGGAAACCAAACAGTCTTCAACTAATCCCCCAAAAAGTTAAACTTTTGCAGGGGGGTCAACAGCAACCAAGTTAGAAGGGCGTTGAACCGACTTAGTAGGTCTCACCCGATTTTGAACTGTTTGCGGAGAAACCTTTTAGTGGTAAACAACAAATAAAGCTTGGACTTTTCCTGACCCATCCACTCAGGAAGTGAGAAGTAGGTTAGAACCATGGTTGCAAGGGGGCTAGCCCCAGTTGCGACAGTGAAAATTCTGGTTGTAGCCCACTTTCTAAACATCCAAGTAGAAGGCCTCGCTACAAAATTGGCTCCCCCCGAAAGCTAAGAACCAAACCGTCAGTGGTGTCCTTGTTCAGTTGTCCTTTGTCCTTCTTTTTTCCGGGAATGGAGGGTTGATCCGCTTTAAAATCAACCATTTTTATTTTTTTACGAAGGGACAAGTGTCCTTTCTAAAAGCAACTGCCAAACCAAAGGGTGCCTTATTTCCTCATTGCTCCGGCGCGAGCTATGGATGATTTCCCAAACCTTATGCCCTCCCATGTTGCTCTTTTTGCCCGGGGGGAGGGGTGTATCTGAACGGAGCTGTTCTGCTCCACCGACCAAAAGCGGGGCAGACCCATATGTTTGGTCCTCTCCATTTACCCGGGGTAGCAACTCCAAAAATGACGAGCCACCCAAAGCCTTCAGGAAAGAAATTGCATGGGTGTAGCTCCCTTAAATCCTGAGGCGATCGATGCCTACAGGACAGCTGTGGTCATAAACCAGCGTGACTACAGAGCCTGGTATGGTTTGGGCCAGACATACGAGCTGCTCAGTCCCCTGGCCTGACATACGATCAACTGGAGGAAATGATGAATCAACAACTTGTGCTTCAAAAACCCGGGTTGTCTCGCTGTCTCCCGGTATGGGATCCTCACTTCTTTTCGCGGCGAATCTCAATGAGGACTACCCGCCCAGATGGGTTGGTGGACAATGCCTCACCTCGAATGATAAGGCGTTAGGGTTCTGAAACGGATGACTCGTCTGCTGATGGAGCAATGGGACTCTGTCAACGGCGGCTTCCCCAGGCCCAATTTCCCCAAACCGCCCGCCCAGAATAGCCCTGGCTCACTTCAGGCTCTGTGACAATTGCAAGCTGACACGAATCTTGGTCACCATTTTCGGCCCGTGGTTGCGTAACATGTGTTTTGCCACTGGTTGTGATACCAAGGTAGCCGTTTAAAGCATGTTGTTTCTTTTTGTTGTAACCCCTTGAAAGGATAGATTTGTGATGTGCTTGGTCCACCTTGGTCACAGAAAGTGTCATGTTCCACGAACATGATCGGGGACCCTGCAGACAACCCTCTCCCCCCAAGGGGAAAAAAACCAGTTGGTGGTTATTTTTATGATGGGAGGAGACAAACATCTTGCAACAGTCAACATGGATTTGTACCCTTGAAGAGCTTGGCTGGCATATATATATATATATATATATGTAAATTTATTCATATACATATGTAAATAAATATGTATATATATATATGTATGTTGTCTCTCCTTTTTTTTTTGGGGGGGGGGTTGCCAATGACCAGGGCTACCTTCCTTACAACAAAGCGGATCGCATGCGAGCCACGGGAGGCTCCCATTGTCGTGCTTCACAAAAAGGAGCCATAAGGACATCCACTATTTTTCGGGGCCCTCCCTTTTGCGCCACCCCCATGTGTCCCTTTTGCGCCTCCAAAATGGTTGGACACAAATCCCCGGAACTGATGCCCATGTTTGTTGCAAGTCAATCAGCCATACCACGGGGTGAATTCGGTGGGTACCCTAAACTCATACCCTAAGCACCATTGGACCCTGCATTGAAGGGGTCAGGACCTCCATTGGAAGGTCTTGGATCTCAAAATTCCCCTTCTTGATGGACCCACCTCTTGCAAGACCTTGCTTAGGGACAGGGAACTTCCGGCTTGGGTCTGCACAAAAGACCCTAGCATGCCCTTTTTGAGGGCCCCAGTAGTGCCCTTTTACCAACTTTTTTGGGGGAGGGTTCCCCTACTAAAATAGACGGAAAAAAACGGGTACCAACTTATTCTAACCTCTCTACTGGAGGACCTAGCCAATCTTGGACATTGGATACTCTTGGACCCCCCAAAATTGGTGATTTTCCTTTGGTTCTCCTTTAAAAGGGGGTCAGGACCTTCATCAAGAGACCTCAACATGCACTGTTTTGAGGACCCACGGATATGCAAAAATCCGGCTCACAAAAGACCCTAGCATACCCCTTTTTGAGAACCCAAGAAGCTCACAATGCTTAAGGATAGCTTAGGCCTGCGCACGGGCCTAACAAACTTAGGGAACTTCCGGCTGAGGTCTGCACTTCTACGCGCTCTTCTACTACCGCCGCGCCATGACGCTGCGCCCGGAGGACGCGCGGATGTGGTGCGCCATGGCCCAGTGCTACGATCTCATGGACCGGAAGGTGGAGGCAACACTCGTCTTCGAATCGACAAGTGTGGCTCCCCCGTGCCCGTGTCTTTTTGTGTATGTGTTTGTTCTATTAATTGTTTTTGTTTTTTGTTTTTTTTTTTTGGGGGGGGGGTTGGGTGCGAATTAGGTTCAACCCAAAAGGGGATGGGTCGTTGGAGTTACATATGTACATGTATTTTGTCCCGGGCTTCGAATCAAGGGCGCGATTGCGTTTGTTTCTTCCCATGCATCCTAAGCCGCGTTTCATTTTGGGGGGCTAAGTAACTAAATTATTCAATCGTTCCAAGAAGCCAAACTAAAGGGGATGGGCCATTTTTTTGCAGACCGTCTATTTAGCACCCAGCTAGATAACCAAGTTGTTTCCAACCTTCAAAGTGGGGATCCACAGGGATTACTGTTGGAAGTTGAGCTTATGTTACATGCCATTTTTTGGTGATATGGGGATCCTCCGAAAAGGGTGCCTTGGGGGAGGTGTCATTCCGTGACTCATGGAGGTTTTTTGGAGGTGTCTGGTGTTGGCTTTCCATGTTGCGCTTTGTTGGTTGCCATGGCAAGATGGTGCGACACGCCTCTCGTTTTTTGTTTTTTGTTTTGTTTTTTTGTGAGACCACGGGGGCCCCTCAAAGCGATGAAGCTTGGTTCAATGTTGTTCTTTTGTCGACCCCCTTGGCTAAAAACCATGGTTCAGTTGGTTTACCCTCCCACCAATTAGCATGGAACTTGACACAGGGGCCTGGAAGACCATCTTCGTTTTAAAGGGACCGGATCCCTGTCAGGTTCCATGTGAATTGGTGGCTTCAAACCGCCGGGTTATGAACCAAACATGCGCGGCTTGCCGCGGAGAGGCGCTGCGGTGCTACGAGAAGGCCCACCGCTGTGGGGACCGCGAGCGTATGGCGCTGCCGCGGCTCGCGCGGCTCCATAGAGACCTGGGGGAGAGGAGGCGGGAGACCGACTTGGATCCACTTGGCAGACGACCTGGGTGAACCAGGGCCTGCTTGCTAAGTGGGTTCAACATGATGCATCTTGTTTGGGGGTTGGCTACTCCTGGATTTTGGCGCTTGAAGGAGGCAGCTTTCAAAATGAAAGTACAATTCGGCATGTTTGTTCTTTGTGGTGTTTTATCCTGTTTGTTGTTGGGACATATTTTACATTTTTGCTTATTGTGCTTTAGTGGCCCTACTTAACTGCTAAAATTTAAGTTTTTGCTCCCCTACCAACGTCAACCAGGTTTTTTTTAATTTTTGGAGTTCAACCAAAATACGGCTTCAGGGCGAAGGACCTTCACAAGCAGCCCAGGTGACCCAGGTGGTATCCCCAACCCCCGGAAGCCTTCAGCCCATGAGCCTATCGACCCTGAAGCTAGGTGCTGCGGCTTTTGCACTTTCAAGAGGTTTTGCTTTTTCGGGTGGTGTTTCCCAAAGGGCAACAAGGGGAAAAATAAATTTGGGATCATTGAGGTTTTCTTCTGGCCAGACATAGCACCAGGAAAGACAGACCGGGTAGATGAAGGTTACGGGACAATCCCAGCCAGAAACAGCTGCTTTGCATTTCCTTAGATGATTCGAGGTCAACCGTGACGCATTTGGACCGAGCACTCCATGGGTTTTTCCAAGGGCGAGTGTGGATGTTTCAGAATGCCGTGCTTGGCGCTCTTTGTTTTGCAGCGCCGGCTTTTGTCAGCAGGCCAGCAGGCGACGTGGAGATGTCGTCTTCTTTGGGTACGTTGTCACATACCCAGTTTGTTCCTGTCGGCGCTTTTCAAGTCGCACGGTTCCGCTTACATGGCGTTGTACACCCCTTGGAGAGTTACATAATGTTCTTCACCATGTGTATGCTGCGTATGCCACGTCCACGGCAACATGGACCGGGTCCGGAGGATGCAAACGTGAATGTGGACCAACAGAAAAGGACCCCGGATCTCAATAGAAGCTGGGGGATTCATGAGTTCGCATTTCTGCCCACAAATTGATGAGTTGTTCTGTGCGTTGTCTCAACGGATTGCCCTTCAATGTTAGCTGTACCTACCATGTTATAACAGACCTCGTCATAGCTCACTGGCTCCCTCTTTGAAAGCGAAGAGTGATAGCCCGCAGCTCCTGAGCTCAAGGATTTGGCTCCTTTCCCACAACACAAGTTCATCAACCTTATTTCTCTTTATCCCGGGTTATGAAGTTGGCATCCTGACAGCCCTCCAGGCAAGCTGCCGCCTACTACACCCAGATGTTAGCGCAGAGCGGCCATTCGTTGGGCGAAGGCGCGGGGCAGGAGACCCCCACTAACCATCGTCCTACCTGGTTTCGCCGGCATTTGCAGTTGCGTGCGTCACCAAAAGGATACCGTTGTTTCAGCCATAGGTGTCCTTGTTGGTTGATTTGGTTGAAAAATAGAGGGCGATTCCTGGCTTACCCGGTGGTTCAGTCAACTACCAGAGCCAGCCAGCGATTTTCCAAAAAGGTAAGCCATCAACTAGGTCCCCCACTGGTGCCCTTTTGCCAACTTTTTTGGGGGGGAGGGTTCCCCTACTCAAATAGACTACAGGAAAAATATATTGTACCAACTTATTCTAAGCGCTCTACTGGAGGACCTAGTAAACCATCCAACTGGTGGTTTCCTTCATTCGGGAATTTCTGGGTCCATTGCCACATTTCCTGCTTATCGCAGCAGCAATTTGCTTTTGGGCCCTGCTTGGACCATTGGGTACTCTTGGGCCAATCTTCACTCGGAAGGCTCGCGGGCGCCCGGGCCTTTGCAGCCCCTCGGCGGCCTGTCCACCGAGGTGGTGGCCCCTTGGCGCCGCAACGAAAGTTGGGACCGGCGAGTGGCCGAATTTCTAGTGCTACCTTCCATTTCCATTCTTTCTAGGTATCCTTCTTTCTAAAAAACCTCCAAACACCCTTGAAAAAGAGCTGGTTTTTGAAAAGAACGAGGGTTGAACAGAATGGGAATCAACCCTTAGAGAAATGGGTGGCGCGCGTTTTTGGAGAATACGTGATATTCTGAGTTCATTGTTTTGCTTTTTGGTTTTGAAGGAAACGTCCAAAAATTCGGGGGTCCTATCCCAAAAGCAGAGACACCCCGAACTGGTGAGTGGAGCTTTAAAGACTACTCTAACGGGAATTAAGGAAATTCTGTGTTTGTTTGGTCGCTTTGGTTTGTTTGGGTAAGCAGCTTGCGAGTTTCTGGAGGCTTTCAAGGTATCAGTTGCTTGTGTTTAACACGGCCTTGCCGCCAAAGCAATGGTTTGCTCACTTGCCCAAAAAAGCAAACCTTTTGATCTTTTGGTTTTCCTGTTTGCTCCATTTCCAGTCACGGCCCCAAAGGGTGTACGTGTCATGTTTCAGTCCTTTAGGCAATCAAGTTTAGGAACATCCAAGGGCAAAGCAGTAGGAACAGCCAGGAAGGCGTTCTGACCGGTCGAATGTAAAGTCCTCCGTCGAAATCTGTGAGTCCTGCATCGAAAACATTCCCGCAATGGGGAGTGGCAACCTGTTTCCGTTTTTGCATTCCCAATCACACGAGGATGTATGCAACCACCGACCATTTGAGAAAGTGAGGCAGCAAAGGTACACCTGTTTTCGATGTTGGTTTCGCAACCAGCTTTTGGCAGCGATTCCAGATGTAACTTCTAGAAATCCTGGAGTTTGCACTTTTTGGGCTTGGACCTTCATTTTAGTAAACAAAAGGCGTGAGCGACTTTCTTGGCCAATCCACTCAGGAAGTAAGAGAGAATCACTGGCTTTTTCGGTGGCTCGCATTTTATGGCTCCATTTTCTCCACGTAGATCAATGGCTGGTTAGCGCCCGGGGCCCCACGGGTGTATCGGAGATCGGGGAGCGCGAAAGCTCTCACTTGGGTGTTCAACCAACGGCAGGTAAGAAGGTTATGACCCATGGCAAGAGGAGGATCACCCCGCTGGCCAACCAGTTGCTACTTTGCGGCTCTCAGATCACCAAGTTTCCAGTTACCCCAGCTACCCCATGGTTAACAACTGTGGTGTAGCAACCTACTTGCCTGACGTTGGTTGAAGCCCCTTCTCAGGATGATTGCCATGGCTATAAGGGGGCAATTGCCCCAGTTACCAACCAGTTTTAACCACGGATGTAAGGGTTCGGTCACAACCGTTACCAATCAGTTATTAATTCAAGGCTATCAGGTCACCCAGTTTGAGTTTGCCCCAGTTCTCCCAGTTACCCTAGTTACCCTAGTTACCTCATGCTTGCCAACCAGTTAGAATCCAGGTGAAGTAGCCTACTTACCTGACGTTTGGAGACCCTTCTCAGGAGCACAACCAATGATTATAAGGGGGCTAATCAAAGAGTTTAGCTTTACCCCAGGTTACCAACCAGTTGCCAACCAGTTCCCATAGTGAAGTAGCCTACCTACTTGACGTTTAAAGACACTTCTCAGGAGGATCAACATGTTTATAAGAGGACTAACCTCAGATCCCCCAGTTTCAAGCATGGTTTTAGGGGGACGACCACCCCAGTCTCCCCAGTTGCCATGGCGGACTTTGGTGCTTTTTGCTTGGATGCCGGAAAGTTAATTAAACTTTTAGCGGAGCAGAAAGAAAGCACGCCCCGTGAAGTCGCCTCTTCCTCGAGACGTCTCGTCTCGTTGTTAGGAGGCGCTGCGGTTTTTGATGGCCTTCATGGCGGAGGAGGGTCGTCTGCAGGACTGCGAGGCCTGCGCCCTGCAGCTCCTGGACACCGCGGGCCCCGAGAAGGCGCGCTGAAGCTCCGGAGCGCGGGCGATGCGAGCGCCGGTTTTCGGGGGCCTTTGGGGGAAAGGAAGCGGGGTGAGCCATCGTGGGTTAAAGAATGTGTTCCTTGGTCTTATTTGTTCATTTTATTTTTCGTTTTTGTTATGCCTAAGAATAAATATTGCTTTATTTCCATTTGCTGAAGTTCAGGGGTGCAACTAGTGGCGCTGGACGGGAGCCGATTCCGATTGCTTGGGGTGACCATCAGCTTCCATTTGCTGAAATGTTTTTTTTGTTTTGTTTTGCTCCCTGGTGGTTTTAAAAGGGAATCTATCCCGCTACTGGAAAAATTATATATATATATATATTCATATCATATTCAATTTTCCCCCTGGTGGTTTTAGAAGGGAATCGATTTCACTACTGGAAATATATATGTGTGTTCAATTTTCCCCCCGTTGAAATCTATTTCACTACCGTATTTTTTTGTTTCCAGGGAGCGAAGAAGCAAATGGAAGACGTGGGTTTGCCTCACTCCAAAGAGCTCCGGGCAACTCGGACTTGATTCAAGGCACTTTTTGGGAATCCGGAGCAAGTTTTCTAGGGGTTGGTTCCTTGTCCATTCTTTTCAACCATCGTTCTTTCCAAACACCGGCCGTTTTCCCTGGGTTTCCGGAGGTTTTCTAGAAAGAAGGATCCCTGGAAAGAATGGGGAAGTGTCCCTTAGAAGTTTGTTAAGTTTCTCTTGTCCTTGTTTGTTAAGATTCTCTTGTCCTGGGCCATCTACTCAGGAAGTGAGTGCAGTTAGTTGAGCCTAAAAATTGGTGGTACGCCACCAGTATACCAACAGCCGCCCAGACCAGTGCTGCCGTCTCTTCCAGGGCACTGGTCTGGTGTCTGTCGCTTCTGTCCTCGACCACCCCCCTGACCCTCAATCCAGCAGGTCCCAAGGCGTGGGGAAGAACTGGCACAACACAAGTTACTGAAACAGGGATGGAGGCAGATCCACCAGTTTGTAGGGCCTCAAATGGAGTTTTTGGTATCCCATGTTTTCGGTGAAGCCTTCGCCTTTGGCCTTGGAACGAGTTGGCAAATGTTCGGCGTCACTGTTGGCTCCAAAAGGAAACACATTTGTTAGGTCTGTTTTTTAGGGACAACGGCGTACATTGATATTTTCCGGAGTTTGCGCTGGCGGTCCGTAGGGGAAATCTCCGAAGCAACCGGAAGCAAAGGACATTCCGATGATTCACCACATTTGTCCGTGGTTCGGTGCAACACTCGGGGAATCCCACGGAAGCTATTGCCCTTATCGTTGGATGGTTTGAACATTTGGCCTGCGGTCATTTTCAATCCCGAGGGATGACCTCGGCATTTGTTCGGTGAAAAAGTTGAACTGCAAAAGGCGACCTCCCACTTGTGAGGGCCTTGCAAAAGAGGGCTGCACGCATCCGTTTTTGTTTTTTTTCCACTTTTCCGGGTACAAGTTTATGGAAACGCGGAGGTTTTGACGGGGGGCCATACCCCGTCATTGATTCATGGGTCTATAGGACCTACCCTACCCCTACGGTCGGTCCCCAAAATTGGAACCCGACCAGTTTCATGAGGTAACTCCTAAGGAACAGTCAGCGGCAAAGTCGGTTGCGCCATGATCCCTTACCACACTTCTGGCTCGGTTGGGCAAAAAAGCTGGACGAAGCCGGCAAAGGCACAAAGGAGGAATCCAACATGTCCAGTTGTTCCTTTTCGGCAGTGACTGGAGAAGAACCGGGAGAGGGGATTCTCAGTCGAGTTGGGGCCATCAGATAGGGGGCCCTCAAGCTTGCCGATTCTCAAGAACGGAATGAGGGAGTGCCCCCCATAAACCATTCCTTGTCGTTTCCTTAAAGGGAATCCCCTTCCGGTTCATTCCCTACACCCACATCCTGTCATGCCCACCAAGCAATGCCTGCCAGGACGAGGCCAAAGCGATGCTGCGGAATCTGCGGCAACGGATGCCTGGGTAAGCCTCGGCGGCTTTCGAGCTGCCGCGTGAATGAAACAATCGCCGCGGCTGCTGCACTGGAGCTTTAACTTTCAGTTCTCAGCATTCCCTGTGGTTTCCTTAAAGTTAAAGGGGTTCCCTAGGTCATTCCCTGCTGAGTGCCCAAAGGCCGCCTTTTCGCCTGTTGGTTTCCCGCATAACCCCCCCAAAAGGTGAACCTTGCATTTCTGGGTTCACTGGGCAACTGAAGTGTCCAGTCAAAGCTGGATTGGGCGTCATTTCCTTTGGCTTCGTGGCTGTCTCAAATTGCCGAACGCATTGCTAATCCCTCGGTTCATTCCCAAAACCCCTTTTGGTTCCCTACGAGCCAGCAACTTGTTCGGCAGCTACCTGATGTTGGGCCCTGGGCTTGTGGGTTTAACCCGGGCAGATACCAGGGCAGCCTACTGGATGGCTCAAAAGCACACAACACGCGGCAACTGGATCCTTTGCAGGGGGAGGGAGGGCAAGGGAGGGCTTTGAGTGTTGCTTGTGGATGCGTTGGAGGCCAGAAATGTATCCTGGAACCTCCTCTAGGGCTTGGGGGAAGGGGGAGACCTTTGGTTGCAAAAAAAATAAATCACAACACAACGCGTTATCATCTCATAGGTTCTCGCATACGCATATTCACCAACAAGTCAGCAAGTCAGCAAGTCAGCACAAAATATATTGGCAAATTGGCCCACTAAATATAACACCGGACTCCAAACCACAAGTTCGAGTTCTCTTTTGAAAGGTACCCCTTTGTACCGGCCGGAAGAAACACCAACCGGAAAACTGAATCCACTTTACGGGGTCCCCCCCAAGAGGATGTGTCCTTGGGTCTGGTTGGCTCAAAGCAAAAAAATGCCAACGTGTTACTTGGGTCTTCAAGCGTTTTCTTTTTCCCCTAGGCCCTTTTCCAAAAATGAAAGGACCCACCCAACTGGATAAGGCACCCAGTGTTGTGGTAGAGCCGCGCACCCGGCCTTGGGCGCGCGAGAAGAGAAGACCCCCAACTGGATATGGGCAGGGGACCGCGGGTTTTAGTCCACGTTTCCACTTGCCAGGGTTCGATTCGGGGTACCTATTTCTGACCCACAGCAATATGTTTTCTAGTTTTCTTTCTGGTCACCTGGCTTCAGGATCTGGGCCAGTGCCGCAAGGCCTTGGGCTCCACGGCAGAGGGCTCCTACGTGCCCGGAAGCCTGCAATGGCGGGTGCTAAGGCCCGGGGGGGAAATCCGGAGATTGGATGCCCACAAACAGGTTCTGCGGTTTTTTTTGGGGGGCGAGGTCGAGTTCCCACCGATGTTGGGTACGAGCCTGCAATGTGGGTGTTTTGAGTGTCCGGCTTGGGAATCAAAGTAAAACATCGCGGATGGATTTGCCATGAACGGCTCCATCGCCTCGGCCAACAACGCCACGCTGGCCACGGTGGCCGCCAACTACGGCCTCAAGACGGTGGTGGACCAGCACTCCCTAGACATAGCGGCGAGGATCACGCCGCTGGAGGTAGACACCAAGGTGGCCAACGCTCTCCTGGGGGCCGTCACCGCCGCGGCGCTGACCTCCGAGCTTGCAAGCAGAGACGCCTCCATCTCGGGGCTGCAGGCCTCCAAGGCGGACGCCAGCGCGCTGACAGCTTACGCCCTGCTCTCGGCCGTCGACAGAATCGGCCCTTTTCATGTGGAAGCTGGATTTTGCCTTCTGCACCCAGTTGCCCAGTGCCACCCTTTGCTTTTCGCCTTGGAGTGCAGGCGAAAGGGCCAAACGAAACCCGCCAGTGCTCAGCAGGGAATGAGAATAGGAATGACCGCTATAAACCATCCATCCTCTGGGTTGCCTTTCTTTGGAATCCTTTGCTGAACCTCATCCCCCACAGCTTCCTTTGTTTGTAAATGAATCCCAAAAGGGTACCCCTGCCTACCGCACCAAGTAAAACCTGAACCCAGTAGGGTCTTTTCCGCGAAGCTTCTGAGGTCGCCTCTGGACTCGGAGATCACCTTCCCACTGAACCAGCCACTGGGCCCGGAGTTTGGTTTGGGTTTAGCCTTTGCCGGGGCCATAACATGGGGAGGCTGATGAAGAGATCCTCGGTATGGCGGCGACCCCTTTTACAGAGGACCGGATCACTTTGGGAAACTCGGCTTTTTAATCACCTCGTTCATTCAACATTGCAGTTTGCGCGTTGGTTTCCCTTGGGCGGTTGAACGTGAGCTCAGAAAAGGTTCACAGACATTTTGGCACCCGCGCACAGGCGCCAATTTGCATGCAGCTCATGTCAGAAGTGGATGTTGGAAGGAGGCCGTGTTCCCCTCCCTCCCCCCCACAAAAATACAACAAGCTAGGCCTGAGGAGAGCGCAGGCAAAAGCAGCAAGCAAGCAAGCAAGCAAACAAGCAAACAACGTAGCAACCAAGTAGCACAAGGCACACGTAGCGCCTAATCAGCTGTAAGGCCTAGCAGGCTCCATGGTTTGACCCATAGGGCTTTGCACCATTGGCCCTTGACAACAGGAACTTTGTGCGTCTCACCGGTTTCCCCTAAGGCCCGGAGGGTTCCTCCATTGCGAGTAGATGGCACAACTTTGCTGGGCAAACCACTCCAAAGCATGCTTTCATAGGGTGCAACCCGTGTGGTTTCTCAGGGACTAAGCCAAAACACGTGAGACCTCGCCATCTTGGGCTGCCACCCTCCCTCTCTCTTTCCGCGTCCGCCCCCCCCCCCCCAACCCCCCAACCCCCCAACCCCCCAACCCCCCAACCCCCCAACCCCCCAACCCCCCAACCCCCCAACCCCCCCAACCCCCCAACCCCCCAACCCCCCAACCCCCCAACCCCCAACCCCCACCCCCTCCGGCAGAGAAAAAAATACCGCGGAAAGCGAGCGAGCCGCTCGAGGCTGGCGAGCGCCAACATTGAGGCGGACGAGGATGGCTGGAGCGAGAATATCCGAAATTTCCAGAAGGCGATGGGCTCATCGGAATCGGATGCCGACGTCGGTGGGACCTTTTTTTGTTTCCAAAGGTTTGGTTTAGGATAAGCCCAAAAAAGGAAGGTCTGATCAAGGGTTTAGTTTGATAGATGACAAATGCCTGACAGATGCCTCGTAGAGTGACTTCTTCGGATCCTTCAAGAAGTCTGCGTCAACCATGGCCTTCAGTGATGAGGGCTGGTGACGAAGAACCTGTCAAAGAACCAGTCCCTTCCCTGGTGGCAAGTTCTCACCACAACTGAACACAAAAAGCCCAGGTGATATCCCCAACTGTCCGGGAACTGCTGGAACTCTCCACAACCCGCGCTGACCAAGCCACCCCAGAACCTATCCGGGCAGAGACCCCCCGCTTTAAGCTGTTGGGAAGAAAAATAGACGGAAGACCAGCAACTGCTACACGTCATCAGATTGCAATGCACAAGTAGCACCATCCAGGGCCCGGCGACGGACGGACACAAGACACGCTGGATCAGTCATGAGAGCGGGGGGGGGGAGGGAGGGGAGGGGGAAGGACCCCAAGAAGGCCCTAAACAAGGCCTTCCTAAGGTTAGGGCTTCATATCACCTCCCTCCCCCTCCCCTTCCTGCCCCCATGCATCAGGCGGTGGTGGCCATGAGCGACCTGGTGGGCGCCGCGAAGTGGCCCGAGGCGCGGTGAGATTTTTCGAAAACTTGGGGGGGGGGAGGGGGGTGGGGCAGGGGAGGTGCTGGGGGGAGGCCAAAGAGCCCTAAGAAGTTGCCTTATTTGGGCTTTCCTACCCCCCCCCCCCAGCCCCCATGATGGTTAGTAGATGTTTGGAACCTGGACTCGGAAGAACTACCCATAAACAAAAACAGAACTCAATCCGCTTCGGAATCCGGAGCGCCACCCCTGATCAATAGGTGGTCCGAAGGAGGTCACTTTAGATTCTTCACATGGCTTTGAGTAGACCGCTTTGGTACCAGTTTGTGGCTCTGACTCGCAGGGCTCAGCCAAGTCCAATTGTCTGCCCTTTGGTAGATATGCACCCTCTCACCAATTCAAATGGTACAGGGGTCCAACTAAAGGACACTTGTCTTCCAGGAACCCCCTGTCAGGGTCAGTTTTTGTCTTACTGTTTCTCAGGGGCTTAAGCAAGTGGAGGTAAAGTGAAGACTTTGAGTCCTCCAAATGTCTCCAAACTACTTGGAACCTGTCCTTTGAATTACCATTTGGATAATGCGTACCTACTGAAGTTCCTGGACCTTATGCTTTTTGGGAGACCGTTCTAGTGTTTGAACTCTTTCTGGGCCATCGATGCCCCTGAATGGACCCATTTGAAAGATAGGGCCTTTGCCTTGCGAGGGCCTGAATCCAAGCTTCCCTTTTTTTTTGGGGGGGGGAGCCAGCACCTAAAACTTGGTGGCCCCCTTTGAGCTCCTTTGGCTGCGCTGCCGAGTTTTGGGAGGGAGGCCTTTCGTGTTTCTTCGAAGCCGAGGGCCGCAGCTGCGGCCCATCAGCTCGCAAGGCATATGGTTTCTCAAAGGGGCAGTCTTTGACTCAGTTTTTGACAGGACACCACCCTTACTCGCCTAGAACGGATCAACCAGATCTGACCTTTTGGTGTTCATGTCCTCCATATCGAGCCATGGCCCCCGAAGAGTTGAGCTTGTATTTCTGGGCCCTTTTGGCAGCTGAGTGCTGGGTCCCTGGTGGCGCATGGTGCTGGATCGATCTGGGGAAGGGGCCAGTGCTTGAGGGGTTGATCCCCCCTTCTGGAAAAAACACCATCGTTCTTTCCGAAAACCGGATCCGTTTTCCCTGGGCTTCCGGAGGTTTGCTAGAAAGAAAAACGGATGCCTGGAAAGAATGGGGTAGGTACCCCTAGAGCTTTGGCCTCCAAGGGGCGCTCGGAACGGTTCTTTGCACGTTCGATGCGCCAATCGCTGGAGCCGATCGATGCGCCGGCCGCTTCTTGTGGCGAGCTTTTGCTCCATGGCAAGCTCGGCTTTCATCCGCATGAGCATCGCAACGGAAAGCAGGGAGCACAT